ATTGCGGGTTCAGGGTTTAAGGCAAGTTGACGTTACCGGGAACCCTTCCCCCCTCCCCAAAAGAGCACCCACCGAGCCCCCGTAGCCTGTAACACTGTATATGCACAAAGCCAGAGACAAGCCATTATGAACCACATAACACACACCTTAGATCCCTGTTGAAAGCTCTGTAAGATCCTGTTAAACGCTGGAGTCCTGAGCCCGGAGGTCGAGCATGCCGTGCGTGGCTTGGACCTTCCTGAGCTCATAGATGTCAGCGTGTGCCAGAGCGGCAAGATCAGCCCGAACTCCTCAAACTTTTGGTTTAGGGGTTAGGGGACCCTATAACCCTACCCATAGGCCCCTAAGTAGTTCCTTTACGTGGTTTATTTTTAGAATCCTATAAGCCTATATATAAGGTAATCCCAAGAAGGAACTACTTAGGGGCCTATGGGTAAACCCTAAACCCTAAACCGTTAGGGGTTAGGGTGCCAAGGGTTTTAGGGTTTCGAGGGGTTTGGGGATCTGAGGCGTTGGCGTTTTGGAATGTGAAGGTCTGGGAGTTGTCAGGTAGGGTTTAGGATCTGCGGCAGCGGCAGAGGGCGCCTCTTTACGATTTGATGTAGGTCAGGTTCAGAATTTAAGGATTACGGACTCTATATCGCCCAGAAAAGAGGGATGGGGTTCTCTGAGAACATTCACCCCCAAACCCTAACTCAAAAACTCGAACACTCAAGGCGACGATAGTGTCTTGGGTTAGGGACGATCAGGTTCATCAGGGACACAGGAATCCATATTGGGCGCATACCCCTTATGGTCCTTATTCAGGTACCATCTCTTTTGGGCCGAGTAGTAATGCTGAAAGTAGCTTCTCAAACTCCAAGGCCTTGTAGGAGTCGTCAAATAATTGTAAAACCCAACAACATGACCCAAATGTATCAACAAATCGCTGACTGAACCTCGAAACGCTAAACCCTGCGAACCCTAACCCCGAAACCCTCACCCCCTGGTTGATAATGTAGGGGCCTTAATAATTAGAATAGGGTTTTGGGGTTCCTTATTATCATTATAGTACAAGATCCCCCCCAAACCCTATTCTAGTTATGAAGGCCCCGAAGTATATATTAACACCATTGGTTTGTTCAATTCTTGGGGTTATGGAGACAGGTTGCTGGTCGCAGATTTTAGGTTTGGGCTGCGTCTCAGCTAATCCCGCCGGGTACCATGGGGTTTAGGGTTTAGGGTTTAGGGGGCCTCGGGGAAGTAGGGTTTTAAAGACGTGGGTTGCATTTGGGGTTGTAAGTACCTTACCCGACCCCAGACCACAAAAGCCATGCACTTTCTACCCTAAGCCCTTCGTAAGAGCATCAGGCGGCGCGGCAGGCAAGAAATTGAATTCTATCTGCGTTTCTGAATGCCCTGAGTGCACTGACACCTCGATAGCTGCAAAGTACTTATTCCAAAGTCCTCCGATATTGTGAGTGCATCCTGGCATCGAACTCCTTCATGTTTGTCTCCAAAGCTTGATAAAGCCCCCAACAAACAAATGGTGTCTACTAAGCCCTGTACACGCAACAACCGACGTACCCAGAGAGCCCAGTACCCCTGATGTAATGATGTGGGAATATCCTGTAATTATCACAAGCGCTATGCAGAAAAAGGTGAACAGTGCCGCAAGGATAAAGAAGCCAACCAGCATGAGCCGGCACAACGAACTTTTAAAATCTTCATCACTAAGCGTGAAGACCAAGAACAGGATCTGAGCTAAACCCAGAAACTTCAAGTCCTTTATCCTGTGGCCAGTGAGAGTTCTTACAATGTGGGAAAGTTCTGGGTTGCGTGTGGGCTGGAGACAACGGGCGAGCGGCAGGGCCGAGACACGATTCAACCACAAAAGCTTCACACCCCCCCAACAAGAAAGTTCAACCCCCCTGCTCCGAAGAAGCACATTGTTCCTTACATAAAGGATTTACAACCTAGCTGCTGAGCAACCTGAAACCCTCAATGAGGGTCTTAAGCCCTCCATAACTGACCCATCTTAAACCACCCCATAAATCCTCAAACAAGCCTACAGCTACTATCGCGTTCATGAAAAAGTGTATCAGACCCCTAGACCCTACCCAAATAGGCCCCTAAGTAGTTCCTTTTTGTGGTTTATATTCAGAATCCTATAAGGTAATCCTCAAAAAAGGAACTACTTAGGGGCCTTGGGTAAACCCTAGACCCTAAACCCTTATAGTACCCTATAGATCCCTTAAGGGACCCCTAAAGCCCTAAAACCCCTAAAAGCCCTAAAACCCCTAAAGCCTGAACCCCCTCTCAGCCTTAAACCCCTACATTTTGACCCTAAACCCTAAGCCCTAAACCCTAGACCCTAAACCGAACCCAGAGATCTGAGCCCCAGGAACCTGCTCTCGGAGTCCGCGACCGTCGTCCTGCGCTCCGACGCAGATCTCAGCTCAGCGGTCGAAGCGATTCGGCAGGCCTTATAGTAAACCCCAAAAAGTTGGAAACCGGATTAAGGACAAATAGTCCTGGGATTCCCTATACAATACTCGTTGGGATTGAGGCTAATGGGTTTCCAACTTTTGGGCTTCTACTTTAGGGCCTTTAGGGTTGAAGGTTTAAGGTTAAAGGGCTTGTTTTCCAGGTTTTGGATTTAGGGCATTTAGGGTTGAAGGTTGAAAGGGCTCTTTCAAGAAATGTGCGGGGTTTAGGGTTTAGGGCTTTTTTGGGGTTTGGGGTTGAAGGCTTAGGGCATTTTTCGGGGTTTAGGGTTTAGTGCTTTTTTGGGGTTCAGGGTTTAGGGCTTGTTCGGGGTTTAGGGTTTAGGGCTTTTTTGAGGGTTTAGGGTTTCAGGTTTAGGGCCTTTTTGTTGCTTCAGGGTTCGGAGTTTAGCTAGGGTTTAGTCGAAACGATTCGGCAGGCCGGCTGCCCAGAGTTAGGCTGCGCGAAGGGCGCTCGTACTAAAGGTGATACGGTTGATGATATAAATGCTGCATTACCCATAATAAGGAACAACATTTCCATAGTTTAAAGTCTTTAAGGTCATGCAGGATTTATACCATCAACCGTAGTACCAATAAACTGGTAATAGTGGTAGTTGAAATTTTGTGAACTGTAATGCTAGACGTTGTTTTGTAAAGAAGGTAGTTATAAAGTAGGCCACTGACCAGGTGTATTTTGGAATCTCGAGGCCTTAATGATTAGAGCAGGGTTCCTTCAGCGCTTCCTTAGGGGTTCAAGCGGGGTCTATAGTCACTTTAATAATAAGTTTTGGGGGCGGATTGTATTAGGGCCAGCATTTGGGACGAAAAAAGTGGGATGTTCCTATTTATCCCCACCCCTATTTTGTGGGTGTATTGGTTGAGAGTGAAGAAGAAAATCTAAGCTAACCCAAAAGAAGCATTACATTTTAGCTAAGGGTCTAGGCATCTTATTTATAACCTTACCCACGAGATCATCTGACCTTCGCAGTAGAGCTTCAACGGTGCGTAGAAGAATTCGAAAACTGTACACCCCCGTAGGGTCACCACAGCCTGATCATTATAAGTACCCCCCAAAACGTGCATGTAACTTTTAAGGCCCCGGCATGAAAAAATCAACGGAGTTCCCGGTGGCAGGCCATCGTGTCCAAGGGGCTACAGGCCTCGGTCACAAAGATGCCAACACGTCCGGGGTGCCAAGGACTTGAAAGCCGGGTTCACCTGCAATCACCCAAGCATCCCGTACTCTGGGTTCCTTTACCTTTACTTCCAGGTTGCCATGATTTTGATGACTATTAAACTGATTGTTGATATTACTATTAGTCGCCGTCGCAGTATTGACCTGTATATCGTAATGCATCTACCTATCTATCTATCTACCTATCTATCTATATAAATGCATATATATATACATATTTAGATTGACTATCTTTTGTTATTTTATTAGTATGTCTATTCTTATTGCTATGATTACTCATTATTCGTTGACTTAATGGTTCATTTTGGTTATTTGTTTGCTGATATGGATCTTTTGTTCTGTGATACATCTATATATATATATATGTATGTGTAAGTGTATGTAGAGATCAATATGTATATGCTTCTGCTTACATATACGTATACGCATGTGTATACTATACATATATGTTCAAGCGAAGGCCGCCTTTTGGACCGAATTACTCTGCAGCTGAGCAGGCAGGTACCCTTTAGCCGCTTTTGGGTAACTTAATCTTGCCAGAGTTTGTGGATTACGGTTTAGGGTCAGGCTTTTGTGGGCCAGGGAAGTCAGTAGCTAGACCAGGGACTTGAAAGTCAGGCTCAAGTTCAAACTTGAAGGCATACCTCCATAAGGGACCGAGAAATTACATGACTTCAGAGAGGCTATTCGGCTATTCTGACTCCTACCTACCTCCTTCACGCTTCGCGGACATTACATCCTAAAGATAGTGAGGTTAGGTGCTACGATGGAGCTACTATACCTCTGTCTTCTATCATAGCTGTTCGAGGCACAAGACCCATCGGTGCCATCAGTGAATAGGTCTCTGACTACTATTTCGGGCGGGGGCCTGCAGACCGAGTTTAGGGTTTAGGGTCTAGGGTTTAAGGGTTTAGCTTTTAGGGTTTAGGGTTTTAGGGGTTTAGGGGTTAGGGCTTTGGGTCAGGGTTTAGGGTTTATGTGTGTTTGGTTTCGGGGTCTGTTTGTGTTCAAGGAGGCTCTATGATTCTATGATGATATTCGGTGATGCTGTGAGGATATTCTTCTGATTCCCTTAGCATCAAAAAGCCCAAAACCCTCATATAATAGGTGCTTTGGGCCCAAAAGCCTTAAAATATGAGTCCTTTAAGGGTAAGGGTGCTGATTAGGTGACCTTTCGAGAGCATGTTATGACTTAGTCTCAGTTCGCTGCCTTCCGCTGGCAATGCTTCTATGGTTCTATGAGGATATTCTACTGATTAGGTGACCTTTTCTAGGGTTTAGGGTTGAGGGTTTAGGGTCTTCAACAGCATGTTATGACTTAGCCTCAGTTCGCCGCAATGCTTCGTGTCTGGCGACCTTCTGGGCAAGAGCTCGCCGCCGTGTCCGTGGAGGAGATCATGGGACTTAGTAAATAGGGTCATAAATAAATCAGGTAACTTTATAGATCGATATAATTGTAAAGGATTTCTTGTAACTCTCATTACGGTACTTCCAGCCTTACTTCAATCCCAAGTGGAGGAGATCAAGGATGCAGCGGCTTTGAAGGAGCATTTGCGCGACCAGTATGGTTTTCCGGTGTCCTTGCAGCAACTTCTGCATGACGGGAACCTCTTGGAGGATGGTGCAGAACTGGCTGCATCCGTGGATCTGCAGTTGGTGTTGATCGCTGATCTTTCGGAAAGCAAGAACGCTGCACGCTTGGCTGCGGCAGAGCTGGTAGACAATGCTCGACGGAATCGTACGAATATCGTTCGCACTTTGCTGGAAGCTGGTGTCGCCAAGGATCGTGCAGATTCGGAGGGAAAGACGGCTTTGATGTTGGCATGTGAGTGTCGCCACATGGAGATTGCTCAACTGCTGCTGGAAGCTGGTGCTCATACAGGTTGCTGCGACCGCAGTACCTTAGTATCTGAATGAGTAAGCTTGACACCTTTTGGGAGAATCTAATCCCGTACAGAGCAGAAAGTTTGATCAACTCAGCAACTGAGGTAGCAAAACAGCCCTAATGCTTGCATGCGAGCAGGGTGACCTGGAGATCGCCCGCTTGCTGCTGAAATTCGGTGGTGACAAAGATCTGCAGGGACACCGTGGCAAGAACGCCCTAATACTCTCTGCTGAGCATGGTCACTTGGAGATTGCACGTTTGCTGGTGGAAGCTGGTGCGTATAAGGACGACTGCGACAGGGACAACAGGACAGCCCTCATGCACGCAGCTGAGAAAGGTCACTTTGGGATTGTGTGCTTGCTGCTGCGAGCTGGTGCTCGATTCGGCGATGGAGCCCTATACCTCGCAGCCAAAGGCGGCCACTTGAAGATCGTACGTTTGCTGCTGCGAGTTGGTTGTGATGAAAGAGGGTTCGACAATGACGGCAAGACAGCCTTACTGCACGCGTCAGAGAATGGTTTCCGGGAGGTTGTGCAGTTGCTGCTGACAGCTGGTTCTGATACTTAGTAGCCAATAGGTAACCTTTAGTTGAACAGGCTAACCTTTTTTGGGCTAACCTTTAACTCTTTGGTGTTAAGACAACCGTGCCATAATTGAGCAGGTTAACCTTGTTTGGGCTACGGTACTCAGCCGCTAAGGATAAAGATTGGGGAAGCTGTTGGGGCAAGACAGCTTTGATACTCGCATCTGGAAGTGGCCACCTGGAGATTGTGCGTTTGTTGCTGGAAGCTGGTGTTGACAAAGACCGAACAGACATTGATGGCCTAACAGCCTTAATGCACGCATCACGGAGTGGTTTCCAGGAGGTTGCAAGTTTGCTGCTGGAGGCTGGCGCTGGCAAAGATACTGCAGATCGTGGCCAGGATGTTAAGGGGTATCCCTTGTTACTTGTTGGTATTGGTTCCGGAAATAGTAGAGCTAACCCAACAAAGCATGTACTTTTCCCCAGTGGGCTACTGAACAGCTTAGGTGGCGGCCAGACAGCCCTCATGCTCGCTTCTAAGTCTGGTCACTTGGAGGTTGCGCAGTTGCTGCTGAAAGCCGGTGCTGATACTTAGTAGCCGATAGGCAACCTTTCACTTTTTGGGGGGTTTTTTTAGCCCTAAACCCTAAACCCTAAAACTTTTTGGGGGTTTATATAGCCCTAAACCCTAAACCCTAAGCCCATAATTGAAAAGGCTAACCTTTTTGGAGTCAGCCGCTAAGGATAAAGACTGCAGGGACCAGGACGGCACGACTGCTCTCATGCATGCGTCCCGGAATGGTTTCGAGGAGCTCGAGCGTGTGCTTCGGGAACGGTCGAGATCGAGAAGCCCGGAGGTACTGCGCGAGGCTAAAAATTAGAGTGTCAGGGTTTAGTGTTACCCTAAGGCTCTAAGGACTTATATTTTTTTAAGGCTTTTGGGCCCAAAGACCATACTATGTAAGGCTTTTGGGCTATTTTGAGCCTTAGGCTTAGGGATTCTATATAAAGTTTGAAGTCCGGAGACGCCAACTTCCGACTCGGATGGTGGAGGGCTTCATACGCTGAAGATCTTAAGAGCTTAGGGCTTAGTGCAGGGCGCTAGAGGACATGCTTTTACGAACTTCCCAGGCCTCTATGAGTGCTGGAGCCACAGAGCCCAAAATCCTTCAATAAGATCAGGGTTCAGCGTTTAGGGTTTAGGGCTGAGGGTTCAGGGTTTAGGGTTTAGGGTTCAGGGTTTAGGGTTTAGGGTGATCAGGAACCAGTATCGATTAAGTTGTATACCTCGTGGATGTGGAACATTCCTGTTTTCAGGGGTTCGATTGCACACGGGTACACTGAACCGTGAACCCTAAACCCAAGCTTTAACCATAAGCCCCTAAATAGTTCCTTTTTGCCGTTTATATTTAGAATCCTATAAGGTAATCCCAAACAGGAACTACTTAGAGGCCTATGGGTAACCTTAAACCTTGAGCCGTTTCTGGGTGGTGTTTCACAAATCGTTTGAAAGAGAGGGTCTGAGGTTTTCTCGGTATTCCGTGCTTAAGGGCAACCCTACAAGCCCTACCATACAACCTAGAACGTAGTGCCTTTTGGGGGTAACTTGTTTATGGTTCGGATCCTAAAATCCGAAACTGAGGTAACCAAGAAGAGGGTATCACATTTGAGGGTGTAGGCGCACCGTTGAAACTTAAATATTAAATCGCCGACGTAGAGGTCTAGATTACGTCTCACGTTTGTCATTACCTCGTGAAAGCTAGGCAGTTCGGGTCAGGTCCTAAATGGCGAGGTTAGCGGGCACTGTCTACTCCCCCAAGAATCACAACCCTTACCCTCAAAGGACTCATATTTTACGGATTTGGGTCCAAAGACGCCATTATACAAAGCCTAGGGGGTATTTTGATGCTAGGGGCAACCCCGTTACGAGAGCCCTGAAAGCATCTAAAACTGATGTCCAATACTTGTTGTCCTGTTGGGTGTCGACTGTTTAAGCCCGTGATGGGGTCTGCATAGCATCATCTTATGATATCGTTTATGGGAGTTATGGGACTTCTGTCAAAAGGCTTGGTTTTGCTCCACAAAACCTTGAACCTCAACCCTTGACCTGAAACCCTTATTATGACTTGGTAGGTAGTATTGGGGAGACTCCTTAAAGGGGACCCTTCTGAGCCCTACTTCTGGCTCTCTTAAAAGGGGGACCTTATTGAGAGGGTCTATAGCCCCAAGGGTCCCCCTAATCCTAACTCCAATGGCTCAGGTCGATCCGAAGCCAGCTCCAATGTTCTCCAGCTGGAAGCCTGGCTGGCACCTAAACCCCCCAAGGTTTTAGGGTTTAGGGTTTAGGGCCCACCCCCAAATCCCGATAACAAATGAATCCGTTCGGGAACACTTAGAGGAACCTCAAACGCAACGTGCATGAATGTTGGTGCTTGCCTTGTTTTCCAAAAAGTTCAAGGCATTGAACGACGCACTCAGCTCTGCGACACCAGCAACGGTCATTGAACTGCAAAGCAAGGAAGACCAAGCTGCGCACAGTTCGTGTCATTGGGCTTCACGAGACCCTCTTTACTGTCCGCTATGGAAAATCCAACGTCGCCGGGGACTTGTTTGACGCCATCTACAAGAAGACAGGGTTGTCGCACGAGGATGGCGACTATTCCCTCACCTTCGGCACCCAAGAAGGCGCCAGCAGTTTGATGGCCTGCGACGGCTTTGATGCCTACCTGATGGAGGGGCAAGACCTCACCTTGAAGATTCAAGCTGTGAGCCGGGTTTGTGGGATTGAGGGTCATATCTTAGACTATCATAACCTACTTTTTGTAGGTTGACATGATTAACCCCTATTATGAAGTTTATATGGACCTCAGAAAAAGTAGGTGCTAGTAGGTTAAGGTAGGGTTTAAGGTTTCAGTCAGCTTTCTGCTTGCATGGATCGGACTTCGTAAGCAGGGAAAAAGAATTCCTTCAAAGGGAATCCTTTAAGGGTGCCTTTAAGGGTTCCTGTCAAGGGTGCTATTTACTATTTCTCATCCGAAGAAGCACCAGACATGCAGCACAATTCAAGCCTGCATATCGGGCTCACAAGATCTTACAGCCCGAGGACCGCTTCGCAGGTCGCTGGGAAAGGACCGCGACTTTCAAATCGGTAGCGGAGCTGGTATTCCTCGGGACCAGCCGAGCGCGTCTGAGTACCACAGGATCGTGTGGCCTGGGCGAGCCTGATATCGACCTACTGCATCCATATGTGCTTCGGCCCACAACAGGACCTCTGAGGGGAAAGCAACAAGACTTGTCAGCCAGCACAGGTATATCTGCCGTGCCGGGCCCGGATATTCCTTAATGGCTGAATTCACGTTAAGGATACCTCAAGACTCGTCAAAACCCAATTGAAAAGCGTTTTGGAAGCCTGCACAAAACCCCAAAACCCCAAGACCGTCCGAACTTTACAGGTTTAGGAGTCTCAGGTGGTTTCCGGGCTGAGGAACTGCCACCCCAAACCCCTAATCCCCTAAAGCCCAAAACCCTAAAACCCTGAAGCCCTAAACCCTAAACCCCTAAACCCTAAAACCCGGAAGCCCTAGACCCTAAGAAAGAAGATGTGGAGCTTACGTAGACTTAGAGCAGGTTCACCAGGCCGAAATACACTTTGCACCATCCTCGGGATCCGATTGATTAAGTTTTCCCAAACCATCAAAACCCCAAAGCCTCGAGGAGCATGCCTAGCTTTAGGGATTGTGTTATGGTTTAAAATTGGTGAGTGTATATATTGGGTGTTATTATGCGGATATCAGTAGTAAGGACCATGCTCTACATGAAAGTCGGATCAACCCCGCACGTTGAGGTGCGTCGAGGTGGAGATTTCGGCCCTAGACCAGTTAGAAAAGTTTGTTAGGTGGCGCTTTGGGAGATTTGTCCCTTTCCCTTCATGGTTCCTACAGAGGTACCGATTCATAAATGATGGAATTTAAGGGCCCCGAAACTACAACCCAGTTTAATTTATTTAAGTTACCATAAATAGGGGTCTGTGGTAATACTGGAGTTCCTGATTATAGCAGCGTACAATTGAAGTCCTTAGCAAAAGCCCCGTAAAGAAACGAACTCTGAGCCCAGGAAACTTTAAACCCTTAAATCCTGAAACCCCTAAACCCTTACACCCTAAAACCCTAAACCCTTAAAGCCCTAAACCCTTAAACCCCTTAAACCCTAAAGCCCTAAACCCTTGAACCCATAAACCCCTTAAGCCCTAAACCCCTGAGCCCTAAGCCCAGGAAGTCTTGGGGATGTCTTGCGCCTCGTGTGTGTCTTCCGTGGAGCGGGTGGCCCACCCTGCTTTGGTATTATAGGGGCTTTAAAAACTACCTATGCTATTTTGGGCCCCTACATTGCAGGATTTAGTTTAGGGTTTAGGGTTTACGTGAATCCTGTTGGGTTTCATAGAGTTTCTTGGATGGTTTGCTCCTGGTTTTCATATGGCTGAACGGGCTTCTAGTCGGGATTTCATGGGGCTTACTGAAGGCTGCGGAGAGGAATGTAGTCTTGTAGGGTTTTGGCATTGTAAAAGTGCTCCGGGTGGCAGGTATTGGGATTTTGTGATTGTAAGGGCTTCGGGGAGGTATGAATAGATAGGCTACCGGGATATTTGTTATGTGCCCTTGCGTAGAGGGGATCCCATTTAATATTCAGAGGCCCTAGGTCAAGTTTCTTTGACCCCAGCTTGCTGGGCCCTCAAAACCACAAGTTTCTGCAGGGCCCCGGCTGAATCAGGTAAGTTTAAGGTAAGTCAAGGGTATTGTGAATACCGTATTGAGTTCTCTGGGTCCCAAGGCCGTGACCGAAGCCAAAGCGCCAAAGCCGAGCATCCTACTACCAAACACGAGCTAAATCTCGATTCTGAGATGCCCAAACCCTGTATATGCTGATTCTTAACGGCCCTACAGTAGTTTAGGCGTTGCATATGGACCAGATGAACCCCGACAGAAGAGGTCCATCTGCCAGATAGGGTTTACAGGGTATAGAGCTAGGGTTTACGGTGGGGTTCACG